TGCAATTTTTTAGCAATTAAAAAAGGCCAACCAGCACTATCTGAGGAGGCCTTGAAGAAAAGACAAATTATTGCAACAAACAGGCTTCAGCATTCATCATTTGAAGGAGAAAACTGTAATCGTCAAACTAGTGCCAGAGGTAAGTTTATTTCTTCATTCAATTTGTATATTAAATTATCTTGCAAATTACTAAAGATAATAACTCAATATGTGCAGATAAATCTATGAGGATCTCACCATATGATTCTAATCCTACTGAGTTGAATACAAGGAAACAAATGGCACTTCCATTTGTACCACTTTCTCTCACTTTTGACAACATAAAATATTCAGTAGACATGCCACAAGTACTTATATTTATTTTTGAATGATAATTTTACACACAGCAGACTTTCAAAATTTTTCAAGAGTAATAATTCTAAAATGAAAGTTGCTTTCAGGAAATGAAAGGAACAGGGGTTGCGGACAAGTTGATGCTTCTAAAGGGTGTGAGTGGGTGCTTCAGACCAGGAGTTCTTACAGCACTAATGGGTGTTAGTGGAGCAGGAAAGACAACTCTTATGGATGTACTTGCAGGAAGGAAAACTGGAGGATATATAGAGGGAGATATTACCATATCTGGATATCCCAAGAAGCAAGAAACTTTCGCTCGTGTGTCAGGATATTGTGAACAAAATGATATCCACTCCCCACATGTGACAGTTTATGAATCTCTTGTTTACTCTGCATGGCTTCGACTTCCTTCTGAAGTTGATTCTAAAACAAAAGAAGTAGGTTAAGTACATATGAATTCACAGTACACATTATTGATGACCCATGATGCTAAAATTACATAATAATAAAAATGTGTTTTACAGATGTTCATTGAAGAGGTTATGGAGCTTGTAGAGATGGCATCTTTAAGGAATGCACTAGTTGGATTGCCTGGTGCAAATGGTTTGTCGACTGAGCAACGCAAGCGACTAACCATTGCTGTTGAGCTTATCGCTAATCCTTCCATTATTTTCATGGATGAGCCTACCTCTGGACTTGATGCCAGGGCAGCTGCAATTGTAATGAGAACTGTAAGAAACACTGTTGATACCGGCAGGACAGTTGTGTGCACGATTCACCAACCTAGCATTGATATTTTTGAAGCTTTTGATGAGGTGAGAAATTTTTATATGAATGCATATTCATATAACATATATACTTTATCATCTTTTGATGCATTCATGTATAATTACTTTGAATTGCAGCTATTTTTGATGAAAAGAGGAGGCGAAGAGATATATGTGGGACCATTAGGACATAACTCTTTTCATCTCATAAA